TTTTTTTTTTTTTTTTACTCATTCTGTCCAAACAGTAATGATAGATTAATCCAGTCACTAACCATCTCAAATTTATTCAAACAGTATTTCACCGACATCCAGAACAAACAGAAAGGGGCAGGAAAGTGAAGATAAGAGGGGGAAAAAATGCTTTCAGAACAATCACTTACTGATACTGATCAACAGAAAGCCACTGAGAAACCAAACCAAGATGGCCCACAGGAAATCAAAAGAAAAAACAAAAACAAAAACAAAAACATGAGTCTACAACTGTGTGTTATTGTCCTTGTATATCACCAGGCTGTCTCCTGTGTGGTTATGTGTGCATTACCTGGTTGGCGTAAGCATGTGTGAGCGCTGTGTGGTTCTTGCCGGGGCTGTAGGTGGGTCTGTATTTGTACATGGTGGGGGTGGGTGGGGCTTTGTTGAGTAGACTGCACTCTGCAGGAGGGTGGGGAAAGATAAATGAAAAAATATCAGAGCAGATCAGATCAATGTTTAGTTTTTGAGTGGAGACAGAGTTTATGTGCAGATCGTTGCACAAAGTCAGCAGGAAGTTAGAACACATTACCCTCCGTGTTTCCCCTGGTGATTCCAGGGTAGCGGAGCTCTGGTTTAGGTGGAGGAGGAGGCTCAGCGTCACATGACTGGCTCTCCATCATCTCCAGACTGGACTTTGACTTGAAAGAGGAGAGAAGACAGATAAGAACCATTACGCTGATGCATGTCCAAAAGGGATATTAAGCCATTGACAAATGACCAGTGAAACACAATAAAATGGACAGCTTTCTCTGAGTTTGAACATTTGGTTGGAAGGCATTTGGGAGTACACAACTCAACTACATATAGTGTAGCTCTAGAGTTTATTTATGTGGAAATGTTAGCATATTAAAGCTTAAAGGGAGCATTGGTGTAGTATTTTAATATTCTATTTCTAAAATCAACTGTCTTCATTCGATAAATGTGTCCTCATTGGTGTCAAATTACCTCTCCCAATGATCTGACTGATCTTCGTAAGCGAAGGAATTTCTTATCTGTATATAACATCGGACAGCAAGTCCATGGAGGCTTCCATGTCGTTCTGCCATTTTTAAAAACTACAATCGCTTGAGAAGAACATAACAGCAGTAGCCTACCTGTCTAGTAACAACGCGTTTTCGTTCAGAGCCAGCGTCACGTGACTGAAAGCACATATAATGGAGAAGGAGATCAGTGAGAGGCGCTTGTCACTGCCCTGGCACATTTGAAAGTCTGCAACTGCACTTTAGTTTTATTAATGGAGGTTCATACTTTATGCCGAGCCACAGGACAAGGATTATCGTCGGAAGAAAGCGAAAAAGGAATAAAAGGCAACGTGACCGGCAGATTCAGAAAACGAGGGTCAACATCGGGTAGCTTTTCCCAGGTGGAAAGAGCTAATGAAGGAGAAAGACTTCAAAGGGACGCTGAAGTTGCCTGCTTTCTCCTCGACAGGTAAGTCAATGTTACGGTCTAAATACAAGGTTCTTTTATTGTTGGGTGTGTAAGTCACACTAATGATTCAATTGCAGTTTGTAGTTTGTTTGAAATAACTAACCTCAATCACCCGAAAGATAACTTGATGAAGTGGATTGGAAGACATGTCATAGCTTCTTGGTACAAATGTGCTACCGTAGTTGCAATACACATTTGAAACGCGAGGCGCTAGAAGCTTCGTTTGAATGCAAAATACAATTTCACCGCGGTGGGAGAAATTCCTACACAATGTACCTTTAAGGTTCCCTTCCATTTAGTGTAGCAGAATCTTTTCAGTCAGCCAACATGCACCCTGACTCTGTTTGACCTCAATAAATGAATACAAATTCAACCCAAATGATGCAATATCAAGTTGCTTGCAATATTTCTGCAAATAAGTAAATAAATAAAAATGCCAAAGTGGTAGAATGCCTTTTAATTAAACATATTTCCCCTATAAAATAATCAATTTCAGATCCAATGTTATGAACCCAGGCCAAACCAAAATCAATCAGCAACCTCAACCATCCAATTTCCTAGCAGATACATTACTGCCTGTGGGACTTCATTCAGCCAAAGCAGAGCTTACTCCGGGCTGCGAGTAGTTCACAACAACCTCCACAAAGCACTATTTTTCAAAGCAGTTTTACAACTGATGAACATTAGAATTTCTCAAAAAATAACACACACAACTGCAAATTACATTACAATTATTCTGAAAGATTTGACTATGATTATTGGCCCCAATAATGACCCTGTTGAGACTGAATAATGTACATAATGTTGATATCAGGGCACAGTGAATGAACGACTCCTCTGTATCCATTATTATGAAGCATCACAGACAGTCTGGGCTGATAGATGTGGTTGTGTTTACTGATACAACCTTACAGGACTTCTGCCTTTTGAATTTCAAACTGCTTTTAAACCTCTTGCTGCCATCTCAATCTGCCTGTATACAACTTTCCAGGCACAGACTTGAATTAGAGGCATAGCACCCTTAATTAACACACTGTTTACCAACAGGAAAAAGCTATTCTTTGTTTGCTTTAACTCATCTTTAAATCAAACAGACAATACAATAACACACAGTATTTATGGCACATTACAGTTTGCCCCTATGAGCACCCGCCCTGCTGTTCTTACCCGGTGCAGCTCTCCCTGTATGCCGTTGTCCAGGATCTTTGCAGCCAGCTGGGCTTCTGTCAGCTGTGGCCGTAGAAAAGGCGGCTGCACACACACACTCTGCACACACTTCTTTCTGCCCAGATACCTGCAGTGAGCACAGACACAGTGAGTATCTACATCATCAAGATCAACCACTACACAGTACACTGTTGTTCCAAGAATTTAATGATGCACTAACTTAGCTAGAGATGCCACAAAACCAGAAATTCACTAGTCGATACAAATACTAGTGAAATTCCACAAGTCTCGATACCACGGTAAAAAAACAAAAAACA